ACAGACACACACACACACACACACACAGAGACAGACAGACACACACACACACACACACACACAGAGGCAGACAGACACACACACACACACACACACACAGAGGCAGACAGACACACACACACACACACACACACAGAGGCAGACAGACACACACACACACACACACACACAGAGGCAGACAGACACACACACACACACACACACACAGACAGACATATGATGGTGATGTATTTTCAAAAGAACAGTTTGGAGCATTTTGCTCGGTTTATTATGTTTTATTTCTGAATAAAGCTAAATATATATCTATATAATACTGATAACGAAACATGCACAAACATGTTTGAAATTAAAAGAAAAATAATATGAAGATACACTCCAGTTGAGCATATTAGCCAAGACTGAATTCTCTTCAATCATCACAGATTATTGGGAGGCAACAGAAATGGGCCCAAAATGGATCCCGTCTCAAGAAATGTCTTTTATTTGTCGAGTAATGTAGGGAAGTTTGAGGATTTGTCACAGCGCTGGGAATCTTGATAAGATGTGCAGGTACTGTCAGTGTTGGGAGAAAATAACAATCATAAACATGATGTTTATTCTCTGCTTCCGGTAGCTGCGTGTGCTTTCCAGGTTTGGTCTTTCTTGACACAGTCAATCTGCATAAAGAGACAGCAATTCATTAATGAGCATGTGTGAAAGAAAATATTTTAAGACAAAACCAAACGTGATCAATTGCAATGTTTGGTACAGTGCGAAACTACAGTTTAAAGTTACAGGTTATCTGGTAAACATTAATCTTCATGTCAATATTTTAATGGTTTTATTGCCATATCAAAACATTGATATATAAGACTTAACATGATAGTGCACTTTTCATTTACAGGCTATAAGACCAATAAGGGTTGGGTTTTGCTATAGGTTAAAGTCAGTTTATTTGACCTTTTTGTCAGCACATGTGGACACTTTAACCGATGAAATTAATAATAACCGAATGAAGCACAGTGTGGGCGAACAGAAAGTCAGCAAAGGCTCTTTCTGGTGAGATGGACAAGAACTCGCCTTTATTCTGAGGGTGAATCTGGATTCTCAGACACACTAAAGAAGACATTATGGAGATATTATTAAATGCAATAAAAAAAGTACTTGTATATTAATATTTTAAGTAATTACAAAAAAAACCAAACAAGCTATCCCCTAATGTCAACGCTGTAACTATTTATGGTGCACATCAAGAAATAACGGACAAGAATGAATCGATTACCTACAGTGGAGATGGAGTCATGTCATTGAAAATAAATACAATGGAATAAATAGAAGGGCAAATAAGTAAAATGCATGGTAATAATTTCTAAATAATGGTAAAAACACAAAAATAAACAAACCATCACGTTAAATCAACACTGGGTAGCTATTTATGTGCACATGCTGGACGCATATTCCTCCAGAAACCTGGAAATGACAGAAATCACTGAATTATTAGACATTTTCTAAATCGATTTAAAAGCCAAACAACACCGAAAGCTGACGTGTGCGTAAATAACGGGTTCCAGTGAGGCACAGAGGGGTCAGACGGCTCAAAATTCCGAACTTTCCTTTGAAAAGTATTTAAATATAGACTATTTCATTACTTAAATATAATTTAAATAAGGTTTTGTCCTATTGGAACAATGTGTACAGTAAGAAGCATATTCGTTAACTTTTAATATGCAAAGGTTGCTATCTGACCATTTTTTTAAACAATTTTTTTACGATCGCTATGACAGTTTTTTCAATACTTTTAACAATTTCCCTAAACTTTTAACACAGTTAGCACAACATCCATCTGTGTAGACTGTACAATTAACACATTTATTGTTGCTTTGACACAAAATGCATTCCGTTAACACAAATTTAAAATGCTCGAACTTCTCTTTTAGATTAGATTTGATTACTCAATTTATATATATATATATATATATATATATACAGTGTTGGGGGTAACGCATTACAAGTAACGCGAGTTACGTAATCAGATTACTTTTTTCAAGTAACTAGTAAAGTAACGCATTACTTTTTAATTTACAAGAAAATATCTGAGTTACTTTTTCAAATGAGTAACGCAAGTTACTTTTGTTTCCAATTTATTGACAGCTCTCCTGTCCCCATGTTGAGAGAAATCAGAAGATGCTACTGTATGCAACAGAAGATGCAACTCAGAATATGATGCAAACCTGCAATAATTAAATGTTAAACAACACAAATATGCTTTATGTATTTAATCCCAATGTCTTTGCTTCTGACCTTCGATGATCCAGTTCAACCATACTAATAAGCAAAAATTACTCTAGACAGACATTTATGTCTTTTTTTATTGCTGAAGTGTGTTGAGATGTCTTCTTCTGCGTTCTACTGTACGGATGTAAATTTACTTTCCCTTCAGCCTGAGGCTTATTCATTTCACTTTTGCGGTGAAAAGGCTTTTATATTTGCCAAAAATAGAACTTTTCTATTTTAAAAACAAACAAGCAAGCCCTGTCCAGATTTAAAAAGTAACGCAAAAGTAACGTTACGCATTACTTTCTATAAAAAGTAACCAAGTAACGTAATTAGTTACTTTTTATGGAGTAACACAATTGTAATGCATTACTTTTAAAAGTAACTTTCCCCAACACTGTATATATATATATATATATATACAGTGTGTATATATATATATATATATAGAGAGAGAGTTTCTGTAATTCCATCTGATGTTAGTGTTTTTATGACATTGTGCTATGATGGACTAAATGTTCCTTTTGGAAGAGAACACGTGTTAGTGTTTTGCAATAATTATTTGATTTTGAGACATGTTTGCAGTGTTTTGGTAGTCATAGTGTGTATTGTGTTTATGTATTATTGTATTTTGAAAATTAGTGTTGGAGTTTTGTTTACAAGGTGTGATTTTGAGCATGAAATTAACTCTTTTGACAATTGTGTGTTGTAGGTGTGTTGGTGCGTTAAGAGTTTAGTTGTTAAAAGTGTTGAAAAAATTGTCATAGCAATCGTAAAAACTGTAAATGCCTCATCCAATAATTAGAAATGACAATGTCGGTGAGAAGTAACATCACGTGACAATCATGAGTCAGAATAGCATTATATATATATAAATGTTACTTACCCTTATGTCTATCCAAAACTGAATACTATTGTTTTTTTTACTTTTTTCCATGCCAAGTAAAGTTTAAGTAGAACAAAGCGAGAAAAAACAAAAACAAAAAAAACCTGTAAAGCCTTAAATCTACTCTTTGAATAATTTGTACTTGTTTACGGACATGTGATTTTCTTATTGCTTTCTTTATTCATTTTTCATTGTTGTCGTTTATTAGGTATTTGTTTATGTTATTTATATGTTATTGCCCTTGTATGTCCTTTGTTCTAAAAAGTTTAAGTAGGAAAAAAAAGAAAAACCATTAGTACTAATTCAGCATTTTATTCAAAAGACGTGTGTACAGCCAAAGCTTAATCAAATATCCGTTTCTTTGCACACAACATTATATACATGTAGCACACTGACAAGTTAACTCCTGCAGGATTTGATCACACCTATTAATTAGTTTTCATGTTAATGAGTCTGAACCATCATCTCTAGCATTCTGGACACTTAAAGTACACAGTAAAGAACAAAAATGCACAGCAGTTTGTCAAACATTTTGTGGAATGCATAAAAAAAAAAAAGTGTTTGGCTTACTTGTATTGTGAAACACATGCTGCAAGTACAACATCAGCAGAACTTTTCTCAGCCAAAGAGAAAGAGCGTTATGCTGAATCAATTCTTTTAACATCACTGCTTGTTTATAAATGTGTTTACAGAAATATTTCAGTTATTACTACATGCGAGTTCATAACCCTAACAGACAAAGTGTTTGTCCAGTAGGTGGCAGCAAGCAGCTGTTTGTTCTTCATGGCAGAAGGCAGTTGTTTGTTTTGCATTTACAGTACAGGACAGATACTGTAAAACATTGAAGAAAAAGGTCAAACAGTAATACTGCCTGTATCATAATCATTATCAAAAGGGAACATTTTATATATATATATATATATAAATAAAACACACACACACTAATGTTTATTTCCACATATGCTGTATAATTCCCAAGGAAATCAATAACTCACTGTAGTTCCTCTAGTTTATATTGTGGATCCTCCTGTATATCATTGAGTAGTTTCAGTCCTAAACCTCCCAATTCATTATTATTGAGATTGAGTTCTCTCAGGTGTGAGGGGTTTGATTTCAGGGCCGAAGCCAGAGCAGCACAACCTTCATCCCTAATATGGCAATTAGATAACCTGCGAAACATTCAAAGAAATAATGTAAAGAGATATGGGTCTGTTTTAGGTGTTTTATTTATGGAAAGTTTATAGTTAAAAAAAAAAACGACAACCCGATTTGAATAGTTTACATATGCAAGAACATGATACAAATGCAATAAAGTTTCTGACTTGTTTCTTTCTGGTATTTGCATGCATTTGGGCCTGGTTGTGTGTGTGTTTGTGCAGCATGTGATGCTACCACAAAGTAGAACATTTAATATAAAAGTAACTTTTATAATTATAAGATTATATATAAAACCAATATCACTCACTGTAGTTTCTCCAGTTTACACTGCGGATCCTCAAGGAGAGCAGAAAGCAACTTTGCTCCAGAATCTCTCAGTGTGTTTGTGCTCAGATTGAGTTCTCTCAGGTGTGAGGGGTTTGATCTCAGAGCTGTAGCCAGAGCAGCACAACCTTCATCTCGAATACAGCAGTGTTCCAGTCTGCGGGGGGAAGAACAATTTCTTAAACAGACAGAGAAGGGAAGCCACATGAGGGCCATTTGATCTTTACTACATTGGCCATCTGACACCCCTAATGAAGGCTCATAGAAAGTAACCTATGAAGATTTACTTGTAAAGATGAAGATACATTTGTATAGCTCTGACTGATTTTAAATTGTAAACTTGACCTCCTCTGAAATGTGTCATACCATTGACATTACCTAAGCAGTTCTAGAAAATTCCACTCATTCAAGGACGTGCATTTATTGCATGGACAGTGAAAAAACATAACCTAAGTTTCTAAAATGCAAAAGCACAGTTCAGGAAAAATTAGCAAGAATGAGGGAAAAGTTGTATATTATTTTAAATAAAAATAAAAAAAGACCCGCAAAGTTGTGCAGAGGTGTATCATAAAATGTTTGGCATTACATAAATATAATTATTAAGAATAATTGCTAAGACACCATGCATCAAAAGAACAAAGAGGGTAGTTTTTTACCATTTAGTGATGAAGTCAGTTTAGGATAAGTTGGATATTGTAACGATTCAATCCACTGAAGGCGAGTTGCAGTGAGAACCCAAGTGCAGTTTATTTACAAGTCATCCAAACATAATCCGAGACTTGACTTGGCATGAACAGACTCGACTCACCGACAGCGGGTTACAACTTCAATACATGACAAGAGACAATGGCAACATGAGGGCTACTTATACCAAACACTAAGGGTCACATGACAAGAATCAACCAATGGGAAACAAGACACATGACTAGGACAACCAATCAGAACATGACACAATGAACAAGAGAACCAATGGCATGAATACATGTGGGCAAGGGAAGCATGACACAAACAGGGGACATATTTTTTGGAAAAAAGAGGATTAATATCAAAATATCAAAGTGGTTTTAGAAAAGGAAGAGGAACAATGGATCCTATTGTATGTTTAGAAAATGAAATTAGAAAAGAGCAGATAAATAAAGAGTCAGTAATAGCAGTATTTTTGGATGTCGAGAAGGCTTACGATATGATGTGGAGAGAGGGACTTTTGATGAATTGATGAACTTAAAAATGATGAATATAGGTGGAAGAATATACAATTGGATAAAAGATTTTTTGGCGAACAGAATCATCCAGGTAAGAATAGGGAATGAAGTGTCAAATACATTTCAGATAGAAAATGGAACTCCACAAGGGAGTGTAATAAGTCCATTATTGTTTTCCATAATGATAAATGATGTATTTAATCAAGTAGAACCAGATATAGGTAGGTCTCTGTTTGCAGATGACAGTGCTCTCTGGAAAAAGGGAAGGACTATTTTATATATTAATAGGAGGATACAAGAGGCAATAAGGAAAGTAGAAGAATGGGCATATGCATGGGGATTTAAATTATCAGTGGCGAAAAGTAAAACAGTAATTTTCTCTAGGAAGAGGGTTATTCCAGAAGCGAGTTTGAAGATGTATGAGAAATCATTAGAAAGGGTGAAGGTATTTAAGTTTTTAGGTATTTATTTTGATGCCAAACTTACTTGGGCTGAACATATAAATAAAATAGTTGAGAAATGTCAGAAGGTGTTAAACATCATGAGATGTGTAAGTGGAGTGGAATGGGGGGCAAGTTTTTCTTCATTAAAAACGATCTATGTAGCACTGATCCGGTCTGTATTTGATTATGGTTGTGTGGTATATGGTTCTGCCTCAAAAAACCTAATAAACAAAGTCAGTCATAATATAAAGTGTATAGGTAAGTCAAGGAAAGAAGAGGTTATCTTTAACAGAATATTGCTAGGGCACTCAAATTTAAATAGCACTCTTAAAATGGCAGGGAAACATCCAAATGGGTTATGTGAGCAATGTCATGTTGAAGAAACAATACCTCATGTATTTCTTGAATGTAGCACGTATGAACAAGAAAGAAGAAAAATGATAGTAGAAATAAGGAAAAATGGAATTCAGGATCTTAATTTTAAGGTTTTAATAAAATGGGCAAGTGAAATAAATAGTAATGTATTCTTTGATTTTATAAGAGATAAAGGGTTGGTAAATAGAATTTAAAACTCTGTTTCACACTCCGGAGCAGAAGGTGGCGGTAATGCACCTATTTGCGTTGGTGCCAGCCGCCGTTAAAAACCAAGAGGAAGAAGAAGACACAAACAGGGACCATGACTAAACTAAAAAATAAAAAGACATGAACATGAAACAAAAACAAAACCCAAACCCCACATTACAGATATATGGAAGCACTGGAAAACGTTTTGCAAATATCTTTTGCAAATAAACATATTTGCTGTTTATTCAAATGTATTGGTAGCCGTGTAAATATAAATATGTTATAAATAATGTCACTCACTGTAGTTTCTTAAGTTTGCACTGTGGATCCTCCAGTACACCACAGAGCTGCTTTACTACGGAATCTCCTGGATAATTATAGCTCAGATTGAGTTCTCTCAGGTGTGAGGGGTTTGATTTCAGAGCTGTAGCCAGAGCAGCACAACCTTCATCTGGAATAAAGCAATTAGATAACCTGCAGAGACAAAGAAAAAAAACTTCTCATGTGTACAGCTGAAAACACACATAAATGAAAGCTGAAGTGCGTCAACAAGTGTCACTGTGGAATTGGTTTCTCAAACACTTGACATCTTGCTGTGTCAGGCACACTTTTCAGGGATATCACTTACATAGTTGTATGCATATTAACCTGAGGTATGTGAAAGATTTTGAATGTCGTAGTTCGTAGCTCTGTTTAAAATTGTAATTGAATTTAATCACCAAGTTAGAAGGTTCCCTGTATCCTGCACCACTTTTCTAAGCTGCCGCTGATGAATCTTCAGGGCCGTGGGTTGTGAATGTGAGTTTACATTTTGTATTGAATGTGATGCAATAACAACAACAGACAAACATATGGTGCTTCTCATTTCTTCAATTTTGCATGCTCATTGCCTCGCTCCTCCGCCCTCAAACCTGCGACCTGGAAACCGTTCAAAGTCCACCACGAAAAAGGATGTTTCAATTGTCTTATAACACTACGAGGAGGTGAAGCTTACCAAGGATACTTGAGCAAGGAAACAATGGAGCATCCTTTGCATGCATACATTCTTCAACCCATTTACCTGTCACAGTAGCTTCAATTCATGTTTGATTTAAATAAGCAATACATCTTACATATTAGGCATGTGCAGGGGTAGTCTTAACCAATAAGCGAGATAAGTGGTGGCGTATGGCCCCAAGGAATCAGGGGGCCCCATCTGATATTGGCAAATTATATTCGATCCAGTGCATATTTGTGTTTGCACTTTGTAGAGCCTCAAATGTTACTATTTAAAATGTGTGCGCAGCATTGTGCAATGTATCCAATCACAGACATATCTGTTGATTTCCTGAATGCAATGGCCAATCAGAGGCATTTGAGTTGGAATCCACTCAATGCTTGAAACGCCAGAGTTTTTGTTCATTGCCGAGTTACCCTCACAAATCTTCTCATTATAGCAAACAAAGTGTACACAAGTGTATAGATTCAGTCTGTAGTGAAGAGAGCTTTATTGATTATAACAGAACTATGTAAGACCGCGATCAACTGTAGTGAGTAACCCCTTACGAAAAACCATGGTTTGATTGTAGTAAAAGTATAGTAGCCATGTGTTGTTTTTTTGGTGGATTGATTACCATTTGTACAACCCCAGTTTTACTAAATTTTTCTTAATTGTCTTCCTTAAACACTGTGTAAACACTTACGGTGCAGGGTGAAAATGTATAAATACCTGGCCGTGACCACAATAATGCATGGCCTCTTGTTCCTTATTGGTCAAATAAAGTATCACTCACTGTAGTTTCGCCAGTTTAAAGCGTGGATCCCTCAGTAGACCAGAGAGCAACCTCACTTCAGAAACTCCTGGATCATTTTCATTAAGTTCGAGTTCTCTCAAGTGTGAGGGGTTTGATTTCAGAGCTGAAATCAGAGCAGCAAAGCCTTCATATCTAATACGGCAGTGAGACAGCCTGCAGAGAGAAGGACAAAAACATTAAATAACAGTTATGATACCTTACAATGATGCTTCACAAAAGTATAAGCTAGATCATGTCCATTCATTTATGTAATTTTACATTTCAATTATTTATTACTATACTAAAATATCATCACTCACTGTAGTTTCGCCAGTTTAAAGCGTGGATCCTTCAGTAGATCAGAGAGCAGCCTCACTTCAGAATCTTCTAGATCATTTTCATTCACATTGAGTTCTCTCAGGTGTGAGGGGTTTGATTTCAGAGCTGAAATCAGAGCAGCAAAACCTTCATTTCTAATACAGCAGCGAGATAACCTGCAGAGAGAAGGACACACATGTTATATAACAGTCATGATACCTTACAATGATATTTAACAGAGGTAAAAGCCTGAACATGTTAATTCAATGACCTAACTTTACTTTAGAATTATTTATGCTATACTAAATAATATCACTCACTGTAGTTTCTCCAGTTTACAATGTGGATCAATCAACAGAGCAGAAAGCAGCTCCACTTCCGTATCGCCTGGTGCAGTATTATTCAGATTCAGCTCTATCAGGCTTGAGAGGTTTGATTTCAGAGCTGAGGCCAGAGCGGGACAATCTTCAATCCTGGAGGAATAGAGTCTGCAGTTAAGGACATTCCATTTTGAACATTATAAGTTGGTGCTTATAAAACGGAGAGTTCCGGTCCTTGATTCTGATTGGTTGAGCCGCGTTCGAAGCTGTTGTAAATTACTCTACAAACACACACCTTTGTTTACTTCTGTGTGTTGCTCGGCAAACACTTTGTTGGAACCACAACTGTTTCTGAGGAACTACATTGTTTGGTGGAAGAATACTGTTTTTATTTATATCATTTCACATTATTTGCTCTGTTTTATTCTGTGAAACCTTACTACGTATATGGAATAACCGTTTTATAAAAGCAATAATCCCCAAGAAGCCGTGGTTTACAGTGAATTTATAACAGCTTCGCATCGTGCCTAACGACGCCCCTTAGCTGTTATAAATTCACCGTAAACCACGGCTTCTTGGGGCTTATTGCTTTATTAGCAACTACTTCTAGAGTATACGCAGGACTGTAAATGGGCTTGTGTTTGGGCGTGCCTGCTTTAGTGCTACTTTTTATTAAAACTAGACAGTTTTATTTACCACTACTCTCTTAAAAATAAAGGTGCTTCGCGATGCCATAGAAGAACCTTTTTGTCTAAATGGTTCCATAAAGAACCTTCAACATCTGAAGAACCTTTCTGTTTCACAAAAGCTTCTTTGTGGCGAAAGAAGGTTCTTCAGATTATAAAAAGGTAAGAAAGAGATGGTTCTTTAAAGAACCTTTGACTGAATGGTTCTTTGTGGAACCAAAAATGGTTCTTCTATGGCATCGCTTGAAGAACCTTTTGAAGCACCTTTATTTTTAAGAGTGTAGGTGATTACGTGTAACAGTGATGTCCAATCCTGTTCTTGGAGGTGCACCTTCCTGAAGATTTCTAGTAATACTGAAGACCATGATTTGCTGGTTGAGGTGAGTTTAATTGGGTTTGGAGCTAAACTTTGCAAGATAATGGCCCTGAACTAGAAGAATAATGCTACAGTTTTGTGGTGTGGTTCTCTAACACAACAAGTCGTATTGTGTTTCCCTGTTGTTTAAGGGAAGTCGTGGCCTAATGGTTAGAGAGTCGGACTCGTAACCCAAAGGTTGCAGGTTCGAATCTTGTACTCTTGCGCTCTCTCCCACCTTCAATACCATGACTGAGGTGCCCTTGAGCAAGGCACCGAACCCCCAACTGCTCCCCGGGCGCCGCAGTGTCCACTGCTCCGTGTGTGTGTTCACTGCTGTGTGTGTGCACGGTGTGTAAGGATGGGTTAAATGCAGAGCACTAATTCCGAGTATGGGTCACCATACTTGGCCACATGTCACTTCACAAGTATCAGCATGCTAATATAATTCTAAATGTTTTTCATGAAGATGGTTAAATCCCATTCAGCACAACATCTATCACTCACTGTTTACGCTTTGAATCTTTCTGTAGGTCAGAGAGCAGGTTTACTCCAAAATGTCCTGTTTCATTGTAGCTCAGATCAATCTCTCTCAGGTGTGAAGGATTTGATTTTAGAGCTAAAACCAGATCAGCATGACCTTCTTCTCCGATTCTGCACCAGGACAACCTACAGATAGCAGAAGTTATTGCTGTATGGCTGTGTTGTGTGTGTATTATAAGCACCAGACAAAAAAATGCCTCTGGCTCCAAAAATGAAACATTTAAGGACCAAACTACTTTTTATAGTTGATAAATCACAAAATCGTTTGATAAAGATGGTTATTTAGAGGTAGGCCTACTTAAGTTCACTGAGTGCAACAACAGTCACTGCTGTGTGCTGTGATGAAGGGATGTACATACTACATATATTGTGATGGTTTAAGAATTTTTTTAATTCGGGTCTTAGCTTAAATTAAACATCTGGAAATATTTTCTATGCTTCATGTCTAACTGCCTGAACTCTCAATCAGATGACAGCTGAGGCAAAAGGTGATAGAACAGCTGATAGATCGAATAAAATGATAGTTATGAATGTGATGGTAACCCTGACTTCTACAATAATTTTTACGATTCTATAATCATTCAGTCTGCATGGTAAATTATTACACTTACCATAGTTTCTCCAGTTTACAGTGTTGATCCACCAGTCCAGCACAAAGCAGCTTCACTCCTGAGTCTTCTAGTTTATTAAAGTTCAGATTGAGTTCTCTCAGGTGAGAGGGGTTTGATTTTAGAGCTGAAGCCAGAGCAGCACAACCTTTCTCTCTAATATCGCAGGTGGAAAGCCTGTAGCACAGCAAAAATCATTCTTAACATTTTTTTTATTATAGCATTCAATATAATCACGTGTATGTTGGAATTTAATTATCATTTAAACTGGAGGAAATTTCACACGAAGGATATTTGACCCATGATCAGTGTCATCTATATTAAATTCATGTGTGTCATCAGGCCATACAGATGCGTTTATTTTAACAAAATAAGCATCGATCCATCCATTCTCCAAACAGTTTAGCATCTCAGCCTGAAGGCGGGGAATACCCTGGACGCATGGCCAGTCCATCACAAGACTCTCTCACACACACACACACACACACACACACACACTTATACGGTACAAACTGTATTTTCTATTGCCCTACACCAACCCTATACCTAAACCTACAAACCTACGAAAACTAATGGCAATTTGTGAATTTCATAAAACACCCATTTTGTATGTTTTTAAGCCTTTTGTTTTATGGGGACACAAGAAGTGTCCTCATAAACCATGTTTACGTTGTAGTACCCATGTCATTATACACATTTGTGTCCTCATAAACCCACACGAAGGATATTTTACCCATGATCAGTGTCATCTATATTAAATTCATGTGTGTCATCAGGCCATACAGATGCGTTTATTTTAACAAAATAAGCATCGATCCATCCATTCTCAAAACAGTTTAGCATCTCAGCCTGAAGGCGGGGAATACCCTGGACGCATGGCCAGTCCATCACAAGACTCTCTCACACACACACACACACACACACACACACACACACACACACAAATACGAAACAAAATGTTTTTTCCAGAACCCTTCAGAGCTTAAACTGACGGCTATAAAAACACATGATCAAAAATGGCGCTACGGTGTCTTGTGTTGATAAGAATTAATAAAGTGAAGAAAGAAAGAGAGTTGTTTGCGAATACCTGTAGATGCAGATTACACACACACACACTTATACGGTACAAACTGTATTTTCTATTGCCCTACACCAACCCTATACCTAAACCTACCTCTTACAGAAAACTAATGGCAATTTGTGAATTTCATAAAACACCCATTTTGTATGTTTTTAAGCCTTTTGTTTTATGGGGACACAAGAAGTGTCCTCATAAACCATGTTTACGTTGTAGTACCCATGTCATTATACACATTTGTGTCCTCATAAACCATATATACCAACACACACACTCAGCCACACCTACATGCAATTTATTGAGCCACCACATTAGACTATGGAGAATGTTTTATTTAACATTAACTATAATATGAGAGACCATTAACACTCACTGTAGTCTCTCCAGTTTACACTGTGGATCCATCAGTACAGCAGACAGCAGTGTCACTCCTGAATCTCCTGGTTTGTTAAAGCTCAGATTGAGTTCTTCCAGGTGTAAGGGGTTTGATTTCAGAGCTAAAACCAGAAGAGCACAACCTTCCTCTCCAATACTGCAGTGAGACAGCCTGTAGAGAGGAGAAAAAATCCTTACATTAATCATGATTTTAAAAGAGCACTGCATTAAAATTCCTCTCTTTATGTTCACTCGACAAAATGATTTTATATTTTCATTCTACATGTTCTCTTTCTGTAGCTTAAATAGAAAAACATGGTACTGATTTTCCATTTGCATACTAGTAAAAATTGATAAATTCATACATAGTTCTGATAGAACAGAAAAATATCAATTAACTTATCTACAAAATATCTACAAATGCCTTTTCACTGCAGAAATATCACTCACTGTAGTTTCTCCAGTTTACACTGTGGATCCTCAAGTAGAGCAGAAAGCAACTTTGCTCCAGAATCTCTCAGTGTGTTTGTGCTCAGATTGAGTTCTCTCAGGTGTGAGGGGTTTGATCTCAGAGCTGTAGCCAGAGCAGCACAACCTTCATCTCGAATACAGCAGTGTTCCAGTCTGCGGGGGGAAGAACAATTTCTTAAACAGACAGAGAAGGGAAGCCACATGAGGGCCATTTGATCTTTACTACATTGGCCATCTGACACCCCTAATGAAGGCTCATAGAAAGTAACCTATGAAGATTTACTTGTAAAGATGAAGATACATTTGTATAGCTCTGACTGATTTTAAATTGTAAACTTGACCTCCTCTGAAATGTGTCATACCATTGACATTACCTAAGCAGTTCTAGAAAATTCTAGAAAATTCCACTCATTCAAGGACGCGCATTTATTGCATGGACAGTGAAAAAACATAACCTAAGTTTCTAAAATGCAAAAGCACAGTTCAGGAAAAATGAGCAAGAATGAGTTGAAAAAAGTAGTATATTATAAAAAAGACCCTTAAAGTTGTGCAGAGGTGTATCATAAAATGTTTGGTATTACATAAATGTAATTATTAAGAATAATTGCTAAGACACCATGCATCAAAAGATCAAAGAGGGTAGTTTTTTACCATTTAGTGATGAAAAGTTAATTTAGGATAAGTTGGATATATGGAAGCACTGGAAAACGTTTTGCAAATATCTTTTGCAAATAAACATATTTGCTGTTTATTAAAATGTATTGGTAGCCGTGTAAATATAAATATGTTATAAATAATGTCACTCACTGTAGTTTCTTAAGTTTGCACTGTGGATCCTCCAGTACACCACAGAGCTGCTTTACTACGGAATCTCCTGGATAATTATAGCTCAGATTGAGTTCTCTCAGGTGTGAGGGGTTTGATTTCAGAGCTGTAGCCAGAGCAGCACAACCTTCATCTCGAATGCAGCAATTAGATAACCTGCAGTGAAATTAACAAAGAAATCGTTTAGAGAAGGAATGCAAAGATGGAAAAAGATGTACACAATGCAAATTGGACCCAGAGCAGAGATTTTAGTTTACACCGAGAATAACACTGTTTTGTGGCATGTGCAGTTTCACAAAGTTTCGAACAAAATTTTGGTGTCTGTTTTTTTTATGAAATCTCACCTTCTGTAGTTAACAGTCTGCCATGCACAGCTAAGAATGATGTACATTTGCCAAGAAATCATATGTAAAAATGCACAATTTAGAATAGAAGAATTATCTCTCTTTTCGTTGAGAGGAATTTAGGGAATGACAAATTGCAATTTAAACACACACACACACACACACACACACACACACACACCTTACTTTAATGTCTCCAGATGACAGGTTGAACTTCCCAGTCCAGCACTGAGCATCCTCACTCCACAATCCTGCAGGTTATTGTTACTCAGGTTCAGTTCTCTCAGACTTGAGGAGTATGAGCTGAGAACTTTGGCCAAAGCTGAACAACTTTCATCTTTGAGATGACATTTACTCAGACTAGGAAAGAAGTGATATCCGCAAATTAAAGTGTTTTATTGACAGGACATTAATGGGTATGCACACAGATAAACTATAATGCTGATTTTAGCAGGAACTTGTAAGCCTATCATACATTTAGTTATATAGCGTCAATTATGTATTTTTTTCACAAATTTTCTATTGATACTCATTTTGGCCAGACCCCAGTTCAAGAAATGCTTGCTCTAAATCTATATTACGTTACAAGCTAGTGGTGGCAATTTGACCAAAATCATAAATCACAATATGATTAATTTAATTTTCAGTTAATGATATATCACAAAATAAGTGAATACATTTTTTTTTACCAGTAAAAACTCCCCAATCCTCAATTCCAAATATCACAGCAAATGCTAATAGTCTACTAGGCTAACTGATATAAGTATAAAGTTCTCAAACGATTAATGAAGACAAGTAAACAGTCAGTAATAAAATAAAAACAAATCAGCAAATTACAAATAACAGGAAAAATAAATGCAATATAACAAATATACAATTGAAATGTTTTTTTCAGGTAGGTATATCTAACAGTAGTATTCAAGTAAGGAATACTAGTGAAACTGAATTAATTCATTCACTTATATTACTTCTTTTTAAAACGACAAAAGTTATTCAGTCAAAAGTAGTTAGGAAAAACCTGCTGTTGGTTAATTAATTAACTTTCATCTTGTTTGTGTGAATTGTAATAAGACTTTATAGTATTATGGCTGCTGTCATGATATTTTCTTACAGCAGAACAATAGACATCTGGTATTTCACTAATGAAAAGCGTAATTAGAATTTATAGAAATGACTTACTCGGCTATCCTGGATGCTGTTACCACTGGCAGCAGCCTCAATAAACATTCTTCAGATGGATAATATTCACTCAGTTTAAACTCATTCAGTTCCTTTTCTGAGTTTAGCAACATAAACACCAGAGCTGACCACTGAGCAGGAGAGAGGTTGGAAATATCACTTCTACCTCTCTTCAGGAATATTTGTACTTCCTGCTCCAGAGAATGATCATTCAATTCATTTAGACAGTAGAACAGGTTGATTGATTTCTCTGAAGAGGGATTTTCCCTAATCTTCATCTTAATGTACTTAACGATGCCCTGTCCACTGTGAAAGCTGCTTCCTCGCTGTTTCAGTAGGCTTCGAAAGACTGCTTGATTAGACTCCAGTGATAGACCCAGAAGGAAACGGAGGAAAAGGTCCAGGTGTCCATTTGCACTCTGTAAGGCCCTGTCCACTTCACTCTTTAGAAATTCCAGCATTTTTGACTTGGAAGTGAATATGTTTTTGTTGACAAAGGACACAAACACATATACAGCAGCAAGAAACTCCTGAATGCTCAGATGCATAAAGCTGAAGACTTTCCCCAAGTGCAGCCCAAACTCCTCTCTGAAGATCTGTGTGCAAACTCCTGAGTACACCGACGCTTCTCTGACATCAATGCCACACTCTCTCAGGTCTTCCTCATAGAAGATCAGGTTCCCTTTTTCCAGCTGTTCAAAAGCCAGTTTGCCCAGTAACAGAAGATTTTTTTTGGTCTGCTGAAGATCCACATCGCATTTTCCTTCATACTTCTGGGTCTTCAGTTTGGTCTGAAAGATCAGGAAGCGTGTGAACATTTGAGTCAGAGTATTGGGGATCTTTCCGCTTTCCGATTCAAGTAACATTGCCTCTAGAACAGTGGCTGTAATCCAGCAGAACACTGGGATGTGGCACATGATGTGGAGGCTCCTTGATGATTTGATGTGTGTGATGATTTTATTGGCCAGACTCTCATTGTGTATCTTCTTCCTGAAATACTCGTCCTTCTGAGGGTCATTGAAGCCTCTTACCTCTGTGATCTGGTCTACCAGAATGAATCACGTTAAGTTATTTGATGTTTGTATTTGTAGCCTGAGCGAAAAAAATGAAGAATTTATTTCACAAGTTATTTCATCTTACAATTATTCACAATAATAATAATAATAATAATAATAATATGTTTTATGTTGTAGATTAAGTATAGAAGTGGACCAAGGACAGATCCTTGAGGCACTCCACGAGAAAAAGTGACAATAAGATTTGGATTTATCAATGCTAATGAACGAAGCGTGTGAACATTTGAGTCAGAGTATTGGGGATCTTTCCGCTTTCCGATTCAAGTAACATTGCCTCTAGAACAGTGGCTGTAATCCAGCAGAACACTGGGATGTGGCACATGATGTGGAGGCTCCTTGATGATTTGATGTGTGTGATGATTTTATTGGCCAGACTCTCATTGTGTATCTTCTTCCTGAAATACTCGTCCTTCTGAGGGTCATTGAAGCCTCTTACCTCTGTGATCTGGTCTACACACTCAGGAGGAATCTGACTGGCTGCGGCTGGTCGAGTGGTGATCCAGAGGAGAGCAGAAGGAAGCAGATTCCCCATGATGAGGTTGGTCAGCAGCACGTCCACTGAGGCTGCTTCTGTTACATCACACAACCTCTGATTGTTCCGGAAATTTAGAGGAAGTCGACACTCATCGAGACCATCAAAGATGAAAAGGACTTCATAGTCATGAATGTCTTTTGATCTCAGCTCTTCTGTACCTGTAACAAACTGATACAGAAGCCCCATCAGACTCATATTTTTCTCCTTCATCAAATTCAGCTCTCTGAACGGAAGTGGAAACATGAAGTGAATATCCTGATTCTCTTTCCCTTCCGCCCAGTCCAAGATAAACTTCTGCACAGAGACGGTTTTTCCAATTCCAGCCACTCCTTTAGTCAGCACGGTTCTGATGGGTTTGTCTTGTGCTGGTAAGGTTTTGAAGATGTCATTGCACTTGATTGGCATCTCTGGTCTTCTGGATGTTCTCTCAATCTGTCTCACTTCATGTTCAGTGTTGACCTCTCCACTCCCTCCCTCTGTGATGTAGAGCTCTGTGTAGATCTCATTCAGAAGCGAGTTTCCTTGCTTTGATATTCCTTCATTTATTCGTTGAAAGGTATCCTTTAGTCTGGATTTGTGCTTTTTCACATACAAAGGGGCCAGCTCTGATAAACAGATGAAGAGAAATAACAGTTTCTGTTTATGTTCTTAAATTAAGGGATGCAAAATCTTATTCCAATCAATTCTCAATGTCCTGACCTACATTTTTTGCTTGTTGCATATCCTCTTTCACATGGAAATACATATTACAAGTAAAACAGGGTGTGAACATCTTTACAAAAACTTAATAGAAGCACTGTCTTTCCTCTGAAATGAAGGAGATATAATAGTCACATGAGCTCTTACTGGTCTGTAGTGTTTTAGCGAGGTCTGTCTGGTTCATCTTTCTCAGGGCGTGAAGTGTGATCTTCAGAAACCCCTCTCTGACCTGATGTTCTTCCTCTATCTCAGAGGACATTGAGTAATCTGAGCTCAGTAGTGCCTTGAACCTCATCAGCTCTTTCTTCAATAGAGAAATGACTGTGTCCTCAAGCTTCTGAAACCAGAGAATATTCAAACAATTAATCTCTACTAATAGGAAGGCTGAATTAATGTACCAGTGTTACAAGCAGAGTCAGCACCAGAATGAATCATGTTAAGTTATTTGATGTTTGTATTTGTAGCCTGAGCGAAAAAAATGAAGAATTTATTTCACAAGTTATTTCATCTTACAATTATTCACAATAATAATAATAATGATAATAATATGTTTTATGTTGTAGATTAAGTATAGAAGTGGACCAAGGACAGATCCTTGAGGCACTCCACGAGAAAAAGTGACAATAAGATTTGGATTTATCAATGCTAATGAACTGTTGCCTGTCTGAGAGATATGAACCCAGCCACTGTAAGACAGTTCATCAGCTCTTTCTTCAATAGAGAAATGACTGTGTCCTCAAGCTTCTGAAACCAGAGAATATTCAAACAATTAATCTCTACTAATAGGAAGGCTGAATTAATGTACCAGTGTTACAAGCAGAGTCAGCACCAGAATGAATCATGTTAAGTTATTTGATGTTTGTATTTGTAGCCTGAGCGAAAAAAATGAAGAATTTATTTCACAAGTTATTTCATCTTACAATTATTCTTCACAATAATAATAATAATGATAATAATATGTTTTATGTTGTAGATTAAGTATAGAAGTGGACCAAGGACAGATCCTTGAGGCACTCCACGAGAAAAAGTGACAATAAGATTTGGATTTATCAATGCTAATGAACTGTTGCCTGTCTGAGAGATATGAACCCAGCCACTGTAAGACAGTTGGTGCAGTTGTGACAAGGTGTAAAAAAGTTACAAATTAGCCAGAAAAAGAAAAAGACAAGATATGAAAGGGGTAACGGTCTAATGACCACAAGTTTATCCATTCCGAAGAACATTGCCTTACACAATTCAAGACGAGCAGCACTTACAAAACTCAGCCACTGCAAACAACAACACGCTAGCCAAGCCCAAATAGGTACATTCACCTACCACATTTTAATGTTTTTAAATATAGTTTTCTTAGAAAATATTAATATAGGCAAATAATGTAATTAATTAGATTTCCTTAATCATCTTTTTTTATAGGTTTTACTCACCTACTTCAATTGAATGTTTTTAAAAAAAATGTTCTTAGAAAATATTAATATAGGCAAATAAAGTAATTAATTAGATTTCCTTAATCATATTTTTCTATCATCTTTGTGGATGTCCGTAAAGCAAAATTAAAGGGGTCATATGATGCAATTTCAAATTGTACTTTCTCTTTGGAGTGTTACTACATAGATACGATCCCTAAAGTTGCAAAGACTAAAATCTCAAACCCAAAGAGATATTCTTTATAAAAGTTAAGACTCGTCCACGCCCTCCTAAAACGCCTCGTTTAAACACGCCCCCACATGTCTACGTCACTGTGTGGGAAGATTTGCATAACGCCACCCAAATGTTCACGCAAAGAAAGGCGGTGTAACTTTGATTCTCGCTGTAGTATTGTTGCCGCCGCCATCATGTCGTGGAGATGCTGTGTGTTTCGTTGTGAAAGCGAAACTACTTTGTTTGGCCTTCCAAAAGAGGACACGACTAGAAATCAGTGGTTAAGTTGTATTTACAACACTGTTCCAGAACAGTTCAAACCAAATATAAATAAAAAATAATTCAGATGTAAGCAGCGCATTTGACGGAGGACGAGGACTGTTTCTTTAAAGTGGGGCAATTCCAACGTTGCTTTTCAGAACGATGAGCTTTGTAAAAATCTACGTGTTTCAGAAAGGCGGGGCATAGAGGAGCAACAATAACGAACATTTCGTGGAAAATAATGTGTTTTTTTAACCTTAAACCACATAAACACATTGCATTACACCAAATACACAACATAATGTTCTTTTTAGCAACGTCATATGACCCATTTAAAAAAATTATATTTCTTCATTCCGATAGGTAGATGAATGTTTGTGATTATAAAGTCACCTATGCCATCCAGTCAAGTCATCTTTCCAGACTTTCCATTTAGTTTAATTTACACATGCAAAAACACCCTTACCTTAAAAATGGAGCCCAGCTGCTTCTTTCCAATGGAAGACACTGACCCATCCTGTTTGTTACTGTGGTTAGTCAGAACATTAAGATTTATGGTAAAGATCTATTCAGACATTAAATACGTACAATATTTAGCATACTGTACATGTACAGTAAATGAGTTTACTGTAAAAATACAAATACATAAAGTATAGCACATAGTTAGTGTACAGGTACACCATACCTCCAAATCACTGTTTTCACTGCTCGTCCAGTTTAAAGAACACATAATTATTAACCGATTTATCTCTATAACCACAAGACTGTTTTCACCTCACATCAGCAGAAGGGTCTCCTGAACTGAATTTAAATGGGCAATCCATTGATGCATCAGTCTTCATGGACACACAGCTGGGTTCAGGAGGATCGCCCCCAGTCAGCCTAAAACACAGTAACAATCTGAGATGTATTTGGCGCTCTCATTATCTTACCCTTAAACTTATAAAACAAGTACAAAATCAGATTCAGGCTATAAATCACTTTAACAGTCATGTAAATATTTGTAATGATTGCATAGCATTTAGTAAGAATTAGGTATCCTAAACTTGAGGCTGCCCTCACCTCACATCAGCAGAAGGGTCTCCTGAACTGAATTTAAATGGACAATCCATTGATGCATCAGTCTTCATGGAAACACTGCTGGGTCCAGGAGATTCTTCCTCAGTCAGACTAAAAAACAGCAGAAATTTGTGATCCAAATGGGACTGAAAAGGTTTCTTGGGTGTGACATTGTATGATAAATTTGTAGTAGGGGCATTAGCATACTAGGATGAATCATTATATTCCTCATTCCTATGTTGCTTCGGATTACAGTGTCCGCTAAATTTCTTTATTCCTTACAACAGATTACATAGCCCTGCACTTTGAAAAAATAACAATTCTGCTGATTTGCAAAAAAAAAAAAAAAAAAAAGGCCTACTATTACTTAATTTGATGATCCAGAGTTCTTTCCACCATGCACAGACTTAACATAAGATACGATTTGTCAAACTATATAAATGTACAGTATATGTATTAACTGTGCACCTGAAAGTATTCAAAAATAATGTATTATTTAACCTACAATCGGCAAAGGAGTTGAAAAAAAGTGGGAAGTGGAAGATTAGGTGTAAAATAATGCCTTGAGAATCATTCATACATGTGACAAATGGACTGAGAATTGCACAGATCGTCCTAATCTGGCTCAGAAGAAGACAGGGAAGACAGGGAAGACATGTCTTTTGGCAGTTTAAGGGAGAACAGAAAACTTTTCACCTCACAAATGGTTGTCGAAAGCAAAAATGCTATGAAATGAATCATATCATGTGAGAAAGTGTCACATTCCAGAGAAAAACAGAAACCATTTTTGAAATCAGCACCGCAAAGTGAGTAAGAAACAAGTAATGGGTTTCATTCAGTAAATATGCATGCAATACATGTTTTGAATGTGTAAAGACTATAAATACCTGACATCAGCACAAAAGTCTTCTGAACTAAAGCAAGGTGGACTTTCCATTGCATTACATGCATTATTCTTCATGGACACACAGCTGGGTCTCTCAGTCTCTCAATCACACTAAAACACAAAAGGAACAGTCAGTTCAGTTTAATCAGTTCAGGCATAGGCTATAAAACCTGTACGGCCAGTTAAGCCAGTTAGCAAAGAAACAGAAAGAAATCTGATCTGGTCACAAAATGTTATCTAACCAGCATCAGATGTATGTACAGTTTCAAAACAAATGAATTTATTCTTAAACAAAAAACCTTTATACATTTATTCCAGTGGGAAGAAAACATAGAATTTATTTGGGTATGTTTAGAAAGTAAAACATGCATAAAAGCCGTGGGGTTATTTTGTACATCAACTTTTAGGATTTTCAGATTAAAAACGATTTAAAAAGCTCAAAGATACAGCAATCACAAGCAATTCACCGAGAAGGTCCTTTTTTATTTTACTTGATTTAATAAAGCGGTTCAGTTAGTCTTAAAGTCTAGAAGCTACAGTTGAGCTACAGTTTGTGGTATTTACTTTACTTTACTTTAGGGTGACTGTTGTTTCCGTTACCCCCAAAATGCCACTTTATTTTCACTTTGTGTTATTTTGTATATTTTTAAATGACTGTAGTGGCTCATAGCAATTACTAAATTTACGGTAGCACTTTATTTTACAGTCCTGTTACTCATGTACATACTATGTACTTATTATAGAAATTACAACAACTAGGTAATAACCAGGTACTATCCCTAAACCTAACCCTACCCCATGTAGTTACCTTATATTACAGTACTTTCTAGGTACACATTAAGTACACTGTAAGTGCATGTACTGTAAAATAAAGTGCAACCAAATTTACTGTATTAACAAAAACTAGTTTGTGATTGCTATTTAATGGCCTTACCTATTAAATTAATTTGCATATACATATTATTGTTTAAATAAAAAAAATGCATTTGAGTATTTTTTGTATTTTGCATCTTATTTTAAAGTTTATATTATTTCAAATAACGAAAGTTAGAACGTTTTTTTAAAAAAAGGTTTTAGTTAACTATAATAACCCTGTGAGTGAATGATAGCTTCACCTAATTCCTTGCAATCAAATGCAATGTAAGCAGATTAGCATTAACAAAAGGCTGCTTATTAGTTTTTGCTCAAAAAAAGAGAAAATAAATACTTTCATTGCATTTTCCCCCCCATAAAATAAGCATGAATGGTGACAATTAACAATGAGAGGCTAATAATGAAGTAGGTGCATGCAGCAACTCATAATGCAATATCATTTCTGCATTTGAATAGAAGGTGTATAGTTAACCACCTCTTTCCAGCAGATGACAGCAGAGGACCATCCTGGGGGTGCTTCACAACAAATCCAAGTTTGCTTAGATTCTTTTTTATTACCTAGGTATCCAAACAAAACCATAAATAAAGAACAAAACTATTTACGTAAATAGCCATGACATAGTGTAGCTTTACAAAAACTACTTTAGAAAACAGTTTTATGTTATTAAGTGATGTTCGCATTCTTGACTATTGCTATTTAATCAATTATCCAATATTATTATTGAAATAGGCCTATAATAGATATTATAAATATTATTAGAAAATAATAATGAGAATAAGACATTTATAAAGTGTTAGAATCTTCTACAAATCTTTATAAAATACATTTATAAAGTGTTATAACATAAGACGCTCCACCACTGCATCGTTGTCACTCTCAAAAAGAGGAAAGGACCACAGTCATCTACAAGACCGATACAGGATTGACATATTTTAGTCCAAGACATGCATTTAGTTTGTTTATTTGTTTGTAAAGATGGCGTGTTTGGAGCCTGAATCTCTTTTGAATTAGTGAGTACACAGATACAACGTACACTGATAACTATTTTTCGGAAAATGCCAAATCCAGATAGTTTCAGTAGCTGCTGTGGTACAAGTGTGGTACAAGTAACTTGCCTGAAAAATATTACTGCAGCACGGCTGCCATTCATGAGCTGCACTGTGATTTTGGAGATTCTGCTCACGAAAATGCAATACCCAAAGTGAACATCCTATATTCTTATATTTAGAATAATAGTTATGTATAAAAATGTAAATGTTGACTTTTTTGTTTTGACTTTTGAACTTTTTCAGTTCTTTCCACTTTTATTTTGTTTTATTTATTGCTCTGTTTATCTCTTATTTATTTCTCTGCAAGTAGATTAACATTCAAGGTACACCATTTTATTGCCAGCCATTGCTGATGCTGCATGTTGTGTTATAAAGGCCTATTTCAATTTAGACTTGACTTTTTAAATATGGGATTCTGGATTTTTCATTGTTTGATGTTCTGTCCTTTGTGTCCAGACACAGTTAGCAGCCCAAGGACTGATAAAACTGTAAACCCAAAACTTAATCTAGCCTTTTTGGACAACATTTAAAAATTACGGTGACGTACGGTGACGCATTGCTGCCACACACATATTTTGTTTCCTCTCAATTATGTCATAATAACGAGATTTTAACAACATCTTTTCTCATTAAAACGACATCTTTTCTCATTAAAACGACATATTTTCTCGTTAAAAGGACATCTTTTCTCGTAATAACGAGATGTTTTCTCATTTTAACATCTTTTCTCGTTAAAACGACATATTTTTTCGTTAAAACGACATCTTTTCTTGTTAAAACGACATCTTTTCTCGTTAAAACGACATCTTTTCTCATTAAAACGACATCTTTTCTTGTTAAAACGACATCTTTTCTCGTAATAACGAGATGTTTTCTCGTTAAAATTACATCTTTTCTCGTTTTAACGACGTCTTTTCTCATAATAACGACGACATTTCTCGTAATAACGAGATGTTTTCTCATTTTAATGACATCTTTTCTCGTTTTAATGACATCTTTTCTAGTTAAAACGACATATTTTCTCGTAATAACAACATGTTTTCTCATAATAACAAGACGTTTTCTCTTTAAAACGACATCTTTTCTCGTTTTAACGACGTCTTTTCTCATAATAACGACGACATTTCTCGTAATAACGAGATGTTTTCTCATTTTAATGACATCTTTTCTCGTAATAACGAGATGTTTTTTCGTTAAAACGACATCTTTTCTCATTTTAACAACATCTTTTCTTGTTAAAACGACATCTTTTCTCATAATAACAAGATGTTTTCTCGTTAAAACGACATATTTTCTCGTAATAACAACATGTTTTCTCATAATAACAAGACGTTTTCTCTTTAAAACGACTTCTTTTCTCATAACAACGAGATGTTTTCTCGTTAAAACATCTTTTCTCGTTAAAACAACATCTTTTCTCATAATAACAAGAAGTTTTCTTGTTAAAACTACATCTTTTCTCATAATAACAAGATGTTTTCTCGTTAAAACGACATATTTTCTCGTAATAACGACATGTTTTCTCATTAAAATGACATCTTTTCTCGTTAAAACAACATCTTTTCTCATAATAACAAGTTTTCTCGTTAAAACTACATCTTGTAATTGTAGCGGCATCTTTATTAGTATTAATCTCCAATCTGTCTACAATATAGTGCTATCCAATAACTGCACTCAGACCTATATCTATAATAACGGGAAAACATGTCGTTTTTATGACATAATATGTCGTTATTACGAGAAAAAATATGTAGTTTTAACGAGAAAATATGTCGTTATTACGAGAAAATATGTTGTTTTAACGAGAAAATATATAAAACGACATCTTTTCTCGTTTTAACGACATCTTTTCTTGTTAAAACAACATCTTTTCTCGTAATAACAAGACGCTTTCTCGTTAAAACGACATCTTTTCTCGTTAAAACAACATCTTTTCTCATAATAACAAGTTTTCTCGTTAAAACTACATCTTTTCTCGTAATAACGAGATGTTTTCTCATTAAAACAACATATTTTCTCGTAATAATGAGATATGATGTTAAAAGATGTCGTTAAAATGACATAACATCTCGTTATTACGACATAATTGAATGGAAAAAATAAAATGTGTGTGGCAGCAATGCGTCACCGTAAAAAATAGTGTTAGTGCCATAATTTTTATTTTTTTTGTCTTTAGTACATTTAGTAATTTATTTGTTAACACTGTTCTTATTGATTTAGGTTGCATAAAATGTATATATGTGTGTGGCAGCAATGCGTCACCGTAA